GGAAGGTTGAAGACCAGACGAGCCGCTGCATTCTGGATGAGCTGCAGAGGTCGGATGGCACATGCACGTAGACCAGCCAGGAGGGAGTTGCAGTATTCTAGGCGTGAGATGAGGAGAGCCTGGACCAGAACCTGCATCGCTTTCTGGGTCAGCTGGGGACGTATCCTCCTGATGTTGTAAAGCGTGTATCTGCAGCAGCGGGTTGTAGCAGCGATGTTTGCAGTGAAGGACAGTCTGTTATCTAGGATCACACCCAGATTCCTTGCAGTATGAGTCGGGGAAACAACAGAGGTGCCGATGTTGATTGTTAAGTCAAGAGTGGGACAATCTTTTCCCGGAAGGAAAAGCAGTTCAGTCTTGTCAAGGTTGAGCTTGAGGTGGTGAGCAGACATCCACCGAGAGATGTCTGCTAGACAAGCAGAGATGCGTGCGACGACCTGGGTCTCTGAGCGGGGAAAGGACAGAATTAATTGGGTGTCGTCAGCGTAGCAGTGGTATGAAAAACCATGCGGGCTAATGACAGATCCGAGCAAGTTTGTGTACAAGGAGAAGAGGAGGGGACCAAGAACAGAGCCCTGAGGGACCCCTGTAGTTAATTGACAAGGGTCGGACTCGGATCCTCTCCAAGTTACCCTGTAGGTGCGGTCTTTGAGGTATGAGGTGAGGAGGGAAAGTGCAGTGCCTGAAACTCCAAGTTCTTGGAGAGTGCTAAGGAGGATCTGATGGTTCACCGTGTCGAGGTCCAAAAGGATGATGACAGAGAGGGAGGCTGCTTTAGCAGTGTGCAGTTCCACACACACACACACACACACACACACACACACACACACACACACACACACACACACACACACACACACACACACACACACACACACACACACACACACACATTCACACAGTGTGTTGCATCCTGTCTGTTCATTCATTTGCTTATGAATATCTAACGTCTTCTTCGCTGCATGTGTTGGGGTTTTTCAGGGTCATAATGTCTATGCAGAGACTGATGGTGATGGCTGATTTCCCGACGGGGTTCAGCACCAAACTGCAGGATTTTTACAAGCGGTTGTATTTCCCCACTGAGCTGAAGAGCGTGAAGAACAGGTGGGTGTGTGTGTGTTCAAATGTGTCTCTGAGGCAGCAGTTCACAACCGTGTTTGTTGTTTTTGATCCACAAGGTTTCACATTATAACTTTGTGAGTGTGCGTGCTTCAGTCTGAATGTCCGTCCTTGGGATGATGTCCTGCTGGTGTCTGTGCTGAAGGGGCAGAATGTGACGGGTGTCCGCAAAGACAAAGGCAAGAAGGACTTCCTAGTTGAACAGATTTCTGTAGTTCTACTGAGAACAGAACTACTACAGCGACAGCACAGGTACAAAACACACGCTCACACCCTCTCTCTTTCACAGTATAATTGATTCCACAGTCTTTTGTCCTATGCACAGCTAAAGCGTAGTGGTTGGCAATCTTCACTTTTCCGCTCCTTCAACAGTGACAGTATACAGTATAAGCCATAGAGATATTGCAGGAGAGAAGACGTGGCAGCCATCCACGCTTTAGCTGTCCTGCCACACTCTTCAGCTTTTCTTCTACTAATGAAATGAAACCTGTCTGGTATTTCTGTCTACAGATACAAAGAATTATGCCGCTACCTACGCGTTGTCGAGACGGACAATCCCTTACTGTACGTCTTAAAACTAAACCTGCTTGACTGAAGCAAAACTGTGTTTAAGTATAATTTCATTGTGTATTTAACAAGTATGGTGTCTTTTGATGGTCTTTTAACTCCAAGTATGTGAGATTGAACCCTTTGTGTTTCACTTTGAAAAACTTGCTCTGATATCTTTAGTCAATCTTATCTATTAATATTATATTCCACCTATACTGAGTCCAATCTTTAAACCAACTTTAGTTTTGATCATTACTACCAAATATTCATTCATTTGAACAATTTAACCTTTTTCAAATGATTTTACACAATCCCACTGTTGTTTTGAGCAAAACATATTATATTTCACTACTAGTGTAATACCTTCAGTCCTGATTATCCCCCCAAAACATACATCTAAATAATTGTATCCTTTATTATGTTCTGTGTGCTAAATACTAAGGAATATTTATTGACAGTCTGGGAAATGTCCAACAACATTAATGCATAGATTTCCATTTTATTTAGACGTGACATCAAGTTGTTGACTTGCTGCATTTGTTTTGTTTCTCGGTAGCTTCCACCAGGTTCAGGACCTCATCCCGTTCTTCACGTGCATGATGGGGGACTTGCCGTTCGCTCTGGGCAGTTTGCTCCCCACAGTGAACGCCCCCGCCTCCCGCTTCACGCCACAACTCTTCCTCTTCTATCTTCTCGTCTTTCAAACGGCAACAGCACCAAAGGTGGTGGTCCTTCAGTCATCAGAGCTCTCCTTTGATAAAGTGTGGGAGCCCATTAAAGGTCAGATGTAGATAAATTACTTGTATAACAGCATTTTATTCGAATAAAAAGAAGAGTTTCTCATAAGTCTCCACTCTGCAGATGCTGTGCCACTGACTTGGGTCACTCTGGTCAGGTTTGCTCTCAGGGTTCATCGATGCTGCCCTGCTGTCTACGCTGATGTAAGTCTGCTATCACTGCTCAGTTTCACAATGAATCAACACATAAGAACAACAGCTCTTTTAAAACATCACATGATTTGAGTTATTCAGGCTTTTGTAGACTCTGAAACAGTTATATGAAGTGGGAATCTGGAGGCAACAGGACTTTGGTATCTGAAGATTGCTGGTTTTGATTTGGAGTCCAAGTGGTATTGACCTAAAAGCTTTGGCTCAATCGTGTTTTTAGAGCCCAAAAGAAACCTCGCAGGTCTTTCAAGGCCTTTTTCTAAGTTGATGCGCTCCAAGTCGCTGAAATAGAGTGGTGCAGGGATGACGTATTTACCCGGAAGTAAGCTGCCCATGGGTTCCCTCGACAAAAACGCAATGGGATTTGTTTGCATTTGTTGTCGAGAGAAAAGTGCCTCACAGCTGCGTGTGTGTCCATAGGATTTTGGAAAATAGCTCGAAATGTTTGATAAATGCACGTTTTGTTCAGCTGGATAATATCCACATGTCTATCCAACTTTTATAATTTTTTTATCATAAATCTAATCGCCAGAAGCAAAATGCTAATGTTATGCTATAAACGTACTACAGCAGGGTCGCTGCCTCAACGTCACGCCAACTTAAAATCCATATTCAAAACTATAGATTCAAAATTGTGAAAGTTGAAGCGTTTGTTTGAACAGTTTGCAGGAGGCAGGTACGGGAGTGTTTTACGTGTTTGGCGTAATGACGTACAACGGCCTCGACAACTTCTGTAGTCCTATTCAGCCACTCGGTAACAACCATCGTTTTTCAGACACGTAAACTCTTCAAAAATCCCCAGTGGGGTCACTGCTGCTGTATTTAATGTCGTAGAACAAAACGTGATCCGTCTTTTACATTTGTGTCAACCACAGACCTTATTTCCAGCTATTTTCCAAAATCCTATGGAGAAATCCCGTTGACTCCGAGACGAGGGAACCGGTAGTGGTAAAATGCTGACTCGCTTCCGGGTTTTAGGACGCGTCACCGCACCACTCTGTAGAGCATGTGCACAGACTGCAGTGTTTTTAAAATGGAAAAAAACTGTTTGTTTTGAAAAGTGTATTGGCCTGAAGTTCTCTAATGTGTGTGAATTTGCAGTAGAAATACATGTATTACGAGCCCAGCATGTTGCAATGTGTGATTGTACTTCTGATATCTTTCTGATCCAGCCTCAGTGTTGGGCCAGTTTAATCAATGTCGCTAACACGCCCAAAGCTCTGCAAAGACCGAGCCCGAAGTTTCTTCTCGTAAGTGTTTCTTATTTATATACAGTTCCGGTTTGAAATGGTTAAAAAAATTCTCAATCTTTTATTTTTTTGGAGTAATTCAGTATTTGTTCTCTGTCATGTCTGGACTTCAGGAAGCGATGGGTTTTGTGAGCTCAACCCTTCAGGACGAGTACGGGTCAAACATACAGATCCCACGATTCTTTATGGAGGTTCGTACATAAGATCACAAATACACTCGAACCAATGGATGTTACACGTGGCTAATATACTTTTAATATATCTGTACCAAATGTTTCTCTTTTATATGCAAAGGCTCAATTAGTGTTTGAACTGAATTAATTGACATCATTTAAGTTTAGGACTATTCATTACAGCCCTACTTAATATATGTGTGTTTGTGTTTACAGGAGTACCCAGATCAGGCCGTGTTGCTGTTGGTAACGGGAGCTTTGTGTTTGAGAATCCTCGATGCTCCTCTGAATCCGGCCTTCCTGGTGCTCAATGCGTTTAAGGTAATCTCCTGTTCCTGTTGAGAGATAAACAGTTTGATGGCTCTCACACAGCGCCCATGTTCCTCAACACCATGAATCTGAGTGATGTTTCTGTGTCTCAGGAGAACGTGTGGGCTCTCGGCTGGCTGTGGAGCACTTTGTCCTCCAGCCCCGAACGCTTCAACTCCTTCCTGCTGGAGTTCTCCGAGGAGACGGAAAACATTACAGGTGTGCGGGCATCTTTTTAGTCCTTCCTTGTTATAAATTCATCACTAAACCCACCATGTCCTGATCATCTGGAGGTTGAAAAAGGGGCAGGAGTATCAGTTTGACAGAACTCAGGTTATGTTATTAATCCACATCACCTACATTATACCTTTCACTGTAGTGTCAATAGCTGTGTAATATTTAAGACAACTAATGTATTTGTATACTTTGGTGTCACCTAGTGGCAGTAATTAAGAATTGCAGCAACACCAGTGTTCCTTCTGTATTCTTTCAATGAAACAGAGTTGATGTGTCAGCTTAAAGAAAAAAACAAACTTCTAAGAAAGACGGCTGAACCATGCCAAGTCTTTTTTATAAAAAAAAGAATTCCAATTATCAAAGAGCTGAGGTTATTATCAGCATAGTGATCTTTTTATCCACCATTCCCTCAACGAACCCGGCCCTCTGCAGTCAGCAGGGCTTGGCATCACACTGATGAGACACGAACACAATGACACGCTCATCCAAGCATTACTATACAGAGCCCCTAGTGGGGGAAACTGTTCACTGCTTCTATGCACGAAGAAAACAAAAGGTGCCACAGAAAAGCATGTCTGTTTCTGTCAGATGGGGATACTTTATTACCCCTTCTTCCTGCCGCTGCCCACTCAGTCGTTTCAAGTGAGGACCAGTGAGCACCACAACCCTTTGAGTCAGTGGACTATTCTATTTTCTTCTTATTTAAAAAAAAAAGTATTAAAAGGCTTTGGATCTGATCTGTTGCTTCCTTCACATGTGGTGAGGCTTCACGTGGTGTATCATATTGTTGTGATGTTGATGTAACCATGTAGGCGGTCCAGTGGACCTCAAACTAGCTAAGTGAAGGCTCAGTGTCCGCTGTAAGTCCCTCTACTCTCATCAGCTGTTCCTTCCTCTGGCTCTTTTTGTTTGTTCAAGAACCTGCTGTTAAAGGGAAAGTCTGCATTGTCCATTTCTCTTTTGGTGGTGTGTAATGTACAGTTGAGTCGACTCCCTGTTTTGTTGGTCTGCTATACAAGCAGGCTTTTGCAAATTAAAAAATAAGTTTGTGTATTAAAAAGGTTTTCATTTTTTGTGTGCACTTTTGACACGTTAGACCGCCTCATTAAAACAGCCACTCCTTTTATTTTCACATATGACCCCTTTACCACAGTTAGTTTCATATAATGACACATTGTGCTTTTATTTATGTATGTATTCCTCTCTTTTGAAGTGAAAGAGCTCTTAAAGTCACAATGCTTTAAGGTCATAGCAGAGTAACCATTAAAAGGTCTGTAAAATCTGCTTTGCTAAGAAACAAGCGTGACCTAGTCTGTTGCAGGTCACATTTTGGCTACACAATGGCTCAAAAAGTGACATTGACAACGTTTCCTTTAAAGGTGACCTATCATGCAAAATGCGCTTTTGTACGTCTTTTAGACATGAATATGTGTCCCCGGTGTTCCAGGGAACTCACCAAGTGTCAGAAAACACAACCCTCTATTTTCCTCCATACCCAAATCTCTTAAAAAGGGGCTGCAACGGATCTGATACAGAATGATACAGATTTGAACACTTCTATGACGTCACAGAAGTGGCGCTACGGCTATTGGGCCAACTCCACCAATCAGGAGGAGACAGCCACGGGACATTGGCCCGGTGAAAGCGCTGGAGACGCTGGTAGTACACTACGCCAGGCCCTGTAGCGATGGTTGCTGTTCTCACAGAATCAGGCCCATGCAAAGACAGTTTAAATTGAGGACGAATGAAGGAATGGCTAAAATCCTATCCCCTATCTGCTTGGTATTTTGAAAAATAAAAAGTATAAATATGCCTTATATAGGTATGGTCCTACACTATATTATTCAAATATAGCATGATAGGTCCACTTTAAATGATATGCTGAAGTAAGGGACGATACAAAGGGAATTCGTCTGTAACACTTGTATTCTCAGCAATGCTAACTGTAGGGAGCCTGGAGGGCATTTTAGTGGGATTGAAATCTTCTACTCACCTGGAGAGATGTGCTCTCTGGGGAACCTTCTTCAGTTTTAATAAAGACCTTGAAATAAAATAGTGTGTGAGTGGATATGACATAATGGTATTTATTTCCCCCCCCCCCAGGCTTATCCTCTCATCACTGGTTCCATTTGCGCATAGATCAACCAGACTGTAAGTGTTACCAGAAGTATTTGATGTAAAGCCTCCCTCCTGCAGCTGATGAATGTCGGAATAACCCGTTTGTATCCCTCTGGATTTTGCAGCCTGATTCCTCGCTGATGTTTCTGTCAAACACAAACCCCCGGTGCCTGGTCCTCGGCACAGTGGTGAGGGAGGAGCCACAGGAAAATGTGTCTGAAGTTTTATACAGACGCTACAATGTACCTGACGAAGACACTTTATGTTGACTACTTCGGATCAGAGTCCTGTTTGCTGAATGGTTTGGAATTTAATTCTGCACTAAAGGATTTTTTTTCTTTCAAGTGAGTGATGCTTATTTTCATGACTTTGTGGAAATATTCATATATATTCACTTTTGTTACAAATGCCCCAAAGAGGTCATGTTATGTTGGAAAATAAATGGAAAATATGACTTTTTTTTTTATGGTGTTTTTATTGCTTTGTTGCTTGATATTGAATCCCAATGGAAAATATACAATGTTTATCTTCAGAGTAAATGCACACCACCTTAAATTGGCTCATATTTGCAACAGTAAAATAACACAAAAGTACAGTGTTAAACAAGGCTTTGTCATTAGCTTCAGTTCAGAGTTTAAAGGGCCATTTCATATTTAATGAAGTGGGGTTTTATGAGGCACTTGTCCATAGTCAGTATCTAACCTACAGTAGTTGGCGATCTGCAGTTCAAGAGAGCACAAGCCCTCGAGCAAAGCAATGTTCTGATCTCAAGGACAGCGTAAAAAACATGTATTAGCCACCTAAAAACATTACTCAAGACAATTTGAGGGTAGGCTATATTAAGGATATTATCATTGGACCTTGACATCATCCTTTTCCGTAAGTAGCTGAAGATGTTATCTATGTTCTCTTCAAAACCACCATTGACAAAAATAGTTATTTTGGGAGTTGCTGGTCTATTCTGCCTTGGTGCGTTTTTGTTATTGTGTAACTTTGGTATTTTAAAGGGTAAGTTCTGATTCAACAAAGTGACAGCAACACAAAAAAACGAACTGATTGATGCAGAATAAACCAGCAACTTTAGTTTTTTTGTCAATTGACTCTGGTGATCTTGAAGACAGCATACATAACAGCTTTAGTTCCTGCTAGGAAAAGGACTGGCAGCAGGCTGAAGCTGTTAAAATATTCTAAATACACTCAAAACATTACAGATTTTTAGGTGGCTAATATTTTTAAATCACACATTGTTTAAACGCGGCTCAATTCTCTTAATTTAAAAGAGTTCACATGTCATTCAGTAATAAGCCTTCAGTTTAAAAACGCACTCCAATAAAAGTTGATACTTCATGTGTGGAGGCTGCCAGCATCAGTAAAAGTCTTCGGTGCCAGAGGGGCACTTGTGCATTTGTGTCCAGTAACCTAAAGATACATGACCAACGCCATCATGGAGTAAAAATCATGCATACACACAAACTTTCATCACTGCAAATAAAAACATAAAAGCCTGATTCTTCGGTGTCAGACAACACAACTTAGATGAATCAGTGCTCTGCTGTAGGTATTATTATAGACTATCTTCATGACTAGTCTTTTATTTCTGTCCTTCATTTGTTTATGCCGTATATGTATTCTTATGCAAGTGCATTGAATTGTAAGAGAATCTTAAAACCGGTGGTCCACGTCCTGCGTGGCGCTGTTTGATGAGGTCACACAGGAAGTTCATCACTTTCAAATCATTCTCACTGGTGCACAATCCCCGCATCAACAGGAAGTCCTTTTCCTCTGCGCCATCGTTCCCTCCAGCTTTGTGTGGACGTAGTAACGCAGGTTTAAAGGTGCACAGCAGCGCCTGGTTGGCCAGTGCAGTCAGGCAGCTCTCCAGGTGCAGCAGGTAGGTGATTCCTCGGCTGATGCCAGAGTGAGGGTCAGCCAGTCGACCAATCAGAGAGCCGGAGTACGACGGACATTGCAGCGTCCTCTGGTCCAGGTCCAACAGCGCCAAGTAACGACTGTAGCGAGTCAGAGAGTGAAGGATGCTGGCCAGAGAGCTGGAGGAGGATCTGGTTAAAGAAAGAAGAAGAGTATGTCACTTTTATACCTTTTTAATTGTTTTCATTTTCACATTGAAACATCACATTCTTTTGCATTATGCATGAAACATATACATGAACATCCACCAATCGATTTTTAAAATCATACCCAAAGTCAAGATCAAACATCAAAAACATCAACATCTCCATTTGACTTCATATGAGCAAATTAACAATAATGGTATTATGGTGCATTGAGCTTTTGTATTACAGTAAATATTAACAAAGATTAACATGTATCGATGAAATCTGATCAGCTTTTTATGCAAACAAGAGACTCAGACTAAAAGGTATTAGCAAATGCTTTTTTGTGGCACAAATATTACAGGCTTTAACAAACTGGCATTTACTGGATGGCTTTTTAAGTGTGAAGTAAATCTGGTATTCTGTAGGTACACTAATATATGGACAGTTTACAAAAGGTCTGATCAAATGAAAGAAAGCAACCAGGAAAAGACTACAGGGCATCTCAGCATAAACATTAACTAAGTGAGGCTAAGACATAAAACAAATGGTAATATAATAATGTCATATATCAACATCTAACAATTGTTGTACCTGTGTATTCCTATCAGTCTCCAGGTGAGCAGGTCAGTCAGCTGCAGCGCTGCGGTCAGAGACGCCTTCACAGCGCTCCCATCAGGACCTGGAGCCGGCAGGAAGAGACTCAGAGCGTCCACCAGCTTCCTGACCAAACTCTCGTCGCCTCCGATGACGACCAGCGGCCGGCCGCTCAGGAGACAAAACAAGGCATGCTGGGAGAAGGAGTTCTGTTTGAGGAACCTGAGGGCTCTCAGTCCGGCCTTCCTCCTCCTCCTCCTCCGATGGGAGCGGGAGCTGCTGTGGACGTTCTGAGTTGGAGACAGCGGCTCGGTGGAGCCGGTGATGCTGGTGCAGTCGGACGCCTCGTCCACGCTCAGCAGCCGGAGAGGAGAGCAGGGCGGAGACCAGCGGTCGACCTCCGCCAGAGCTAGAGCAGGGGTGAAGTTCACATGAAGGTCAAGTACCGACCGCACCGTCCGATGGACTCCAGACAAGCGAGGCTTCGACTCCACCGTTACTTCATCTAAAAAAAATAACAGTTTATTTCATGTTAATGCCTATTTCTGGTTTATTAAACTGTCTTATTTTCATAGTTTTCAAACTATTGTGTGCTTGTCTGTTTATTTCTCCGTCCACAGCTAATCTTTTATACTGCTGGACTACTTGTCATAATAAAGTTTATTCTCATTTTGAACTGGAGCAGATTATTTCCATATCGATATATTTTTGATCCAGTGAAGTCAAGCAGAATAAAATAGAGGAGGTTTTGACAAACTTTTTAATATTAGCCAAATAATTGTTATTGTATACTTAAATTGTGCTTGAGGCATAAATATTGTAGCAGATGTTTTACCTGGCATTGGTTTGGACGTCTTCTCTGGACCGTTCACTTCATGGACATGATTGCTCATCAAACATTCAACGACCTTCTCTTCTTTCATTATAACCTCACCACTAACAGTTCTTTGCTTTGAGGTCTCTTCTCCGTTAACACGACCGTCATATTCCTGAGCCTGCTCCTCGTTTTCATCCTCAGAAACTGAAGTGCTTGCTTTGAATGTCTTCCTCTTCCTGAGGACATCGTCAGATTCAAACTCTGCCAGTATTTCCTCCTCTTTCTCAAAGCCGTTAGTAAGAGCTTGTTGATCCGACTCTTCCTCGGTGATGGCGGTGAGGTCGTCAGGACAGATGGACTCGGTGGTGCTCAGAACCTCGATGCTGTCCTCACTGTTGGCTCGTCTGGCGTACACTCTGCCGCGCCTGACGCCTGAATCTACTGCGGCTCGCCTGTAAGAGGAGTCCGTCATCCCGACTGAGGTTTCTGTTGAAGACAGGGAACAGTGTCAGAGAGGCCAAATGCTGCAATATGCATTCCTTCTAAAGTACACACATCAACCTAGTAAATAAAAGATATTCACTGTAAGCAACCAGCTAATTGTCTTTCAGTACCTCTGCTGTCAGAGCCATGCTGGGTCTGATAAGACTTCTCCGTCCCGAGCACTTCGATGCTGTCGCTGCTGCTCATACTCCCCGTCATCTCCGTGGCAACGCTGGGGTCAGGGGTCATTGTCCTGTCATCTCCTGCCTCCATTTTGATGGGGATCTCCTCCACGCAGGAGCAGAACGACTCCATGCTCATTGGTTCGGATTGAAAGGCCTCGACGCCGCTCTTATTCCCCGTCGCCCTCTGCAGCTCGGCCTCAGCGCTCTCTCGCTCCTCCTCAGATCCCTCCTCTGGCCTCCAAAGCTCAAACAGGAAGTTGGTGAGCGTGAGCCTCCTGGACAACGACTGTATGGTGCTAGTCGTCCGCAGCACACTCCTGTCGCCACGTAGACGGCGCTCTGTGTCAGCGAGCTGCTCCTTCATCAGAGACAGGAAGTAGGAGTTGCAAAGCTCCTGGAGAGGCTTCAGATGGCGCTCAGACCTGCAGGAGGAGGAGGAGAAGGAGAAGGAGGGGGAGGGGGAGGGACCGGGCTCAGGAGGCAGTAACGCTGTTGGATCAGTGAGCGAGTCGGCTGGGTCGTAAGGCAGGAAGTCAGGATGTTTCAGCTTCCTGTTTGGGTAGGAAGTGACCTGGCGCAGGAGCTCTCTATGATTTAGGATTGAATGCTCTACAGCTTCAATCTCATCTGCTTTCTCTCCCTGCTTCGCGTTTACCTTCCTTGGAGGAGGATCAGTCTCCTGATGCAGGGTCAACCGTGTGTACCTGAAACAGTCAGAGGGAGTTGATTTATTCAGCAGCCTTGGAGAGTAACTTAAAACTGGAGTGCGGGCCTTTACATATGCATGAACGTCTGTAGCATTCAAGCCCTTGCCAAAGGAGTTCACACAATGGGACTCATTCTATCGCCGCCAGGGAAAAGCCCTTTATATTTCACCAAAGTTGTGGTGTCCAAAAAAGGTTTCTGGAGTAGAAAAAGAAAAAGAAACTGCATTTTGAGGAAAGATTGTTCAAACTAGATGAACTGCAACCCGGCTATAACCTTCTGCCAACTAGTCAAGTTGTCTGTTTCTCCAAAATTGCATCATTGACTTAATTTTCATAATTACCATCTATAATCATGGCCAAAAACATGGTTTGTAAAGGTGAGAGTGAACTTTGACCATCCTTGAGTCCAAATGGGCTTTTGTGCCAAATTTGATTAAATTCCCTGAAGGCCCTAAACTTTGTGTTCTCAATGATTTTTGTTCCCCAGCTAAACCTTCTCCTATTATGTCAAACTTTAAAAATGTATATTCCCCACGGGTAATATGTTGAAATCCCCAATTTACAGATTAAAGCATACTAATGTTATGTTGATTTTAGATGTCGCCTATGATATCTCCACACAGACTGAAGGGGAATTGTTTTGTTCTAACTGCATTTGAAACACTCATCTTCCTACATTCATTTGCAATTCCAACTGTGAAGACAGCCCTTCTCAATCGCTTACAATGTTGGTTTATATCAGGACTAACACTCTGGGCTTTGTGAAACTTGAAGGGTATCAGGTGATATATTGGCCAATATGGAAATGTCTTTCCGTCTCTAAGACACAAGTAGATGTATATCAGTATTTCATCAAAGTAAATACTAATCTTACTCAAGCTCTTGTAATTTTCTCTGCAGCTCCATAGAGAACGCCTGTCTGTTCCCCGTCTTGAGGCTGTCGGAGGCATGAGAGAAGCCTGTCGACAGCTCAGATAAGTTCTCCATCAGCTTCGTCTGGTCGGAACAAATGTACGCCACGCAGAAAGGACGCACCATGCCCCGAGCCTCAAGGTCATACAGGGTCATGTGGTGCACATAGGCAAATGCATCGTCCGCCGAATCCCCAAGAATCACTTTGGAGTCCTCGCTGAAGTTGAGGCGGGGGCCAGGGGATGCAGGAGGGGTGTGGCCCGGGCCGGACGCCTGGTAGTCCACAGACATGATGCGCACAGAGAAGTGGTTCAGGTCGAACAATCCGATGACCCTGGGGTCGTCCGGTATCGTCAGCACAGGTTTGGGTCCAACCTGTGAACACACAGCAGAGGTTTGAAGAGACGCAGTACAACATACAATAGATATTTACCTGGAGTCACAATTACAATTATTTTTGTTTTTGAATATCACTGAAGACTTCACTTACCATTGAGATACATTAAAAGGTCTGATGTTGTTCTAAAAATAACAGTCATTTGACTACAAAAGTGAATCGCCCACTACATTCAGATAATCTATAGTTTTCATTTTCAAGCCAAAGCACCATAACAATCTCTGGTAGCAGCTTCTTCATTTTGAGTAAATTCTGCTTTTTGCATCTTTCTGAGGTTTTTCAGTCTGTTCATTTTTTTTTAAAACAAGCCTTTTGTAAACTTCACCTAAGGATCTGGGAAATGTTGATGGAGAGTCATCAATTAATAAGGGAACAAAGGTACTGATTTGATTGAGGGATTGAGTTTTATAAATATTGGATTTCTCCGTTTTGAGTTTGTAATTGTAAATAAAATATATCTTTGAAAATGTCAACCTGGGTTAAGGAAGTTGTGATGAGCTATTTCTCAGTATTTTCTAAAATGATGTTGAGTGTAAACTATCAATTGATTAAATGAAAAATATATAACATATATTTGTATATTTCTTAACATTCATAATACCGAATTGGCTAGAATTACACAACAAAAACATGTACAGAATACTACCAGGCATTGTTGTTGTTGTTGTTGTTGTTGTTGTTTACTAAAAGTGCAGATGGTCCTAGTTTTTACTTTTAGTTTCTACTAAGAATCTTTAATGTTGTGTGATTTATTTGTCTACTGAGATTCACACAATTTTCAATCATATGTCGTCATTATTTCAGCAAGGGCTGGATGAAGAAATCACTTTCCTTTCACAGTTTCAAAACTGGTTAGTGTGCAATGGCTGCTTTGTGTGACTGACTGCTCGTATTTTGAAGAGTATACGTAATTTAATCTCTTTTACATAAGAGATGTTAATCTCATTGAGACTTCCTGGATACATTTAATTACACTCACTTTCAATGGGCACACCATAATCGTAAAATAGAAATAAAAGCAACACAACCACACTTTTTATTTAAAGAATATATATAAAATAATTAAATAACTCATTTTTCTTTTGTTGAAGAACTTTCGTTATTCTTTCAAATTGATTAACTAATAAAACAATGCAATTTTCCAATGTGTCATTATTATTATTCAACACCTTATGTCACATAGTTATTACTATATACTATTATATTATCTACATTNACGCACCCTCTTCTTTTATGAGGGAAACATTCCAGAGTTTTGGAGCTATCCCCAAACAAGGATGTCCCCTGCTCACATCCCTTTCTAAACACAAAGACTTCACCTCAATATATTGGGGAGGGAAAATATACTTTGTCCCTTCAAATTTAACACACAAGAATATATATAAGGTGACATTAAAATGAATATACCAGATTTAACTTTCCTGCCATAACACGTTACTTTAATACTTCAAATAATTCAAATAATACTTCAGTACATAACATGTTTAAAAGTTAAGGCTCCTTTACTATGACACAGATTGCAACCGCAAAATAGAGTCAGGGTTTCTTTGCCTTAGTTGGATCGACAAATCCTTAAACCCAAATCAGAGGAAATCGGTACTACTTTGGTCATCTTTGTAAACCCAGACTATATTTGTAGTTAGTATAAACATTAAATCTTGTAACGAATGCTTTTTCATTTATTTATTTTTGATTTCCATTTGAAACGTTCTCATCGAGGGGTAATTGTTTTTGGCAAAAGTACTACAAACAGCTGCATTCAACTTAAAACATGTCATAGCCAAAGCCAGGATGTAAATTGACTCGGTAAATATTGTGTTTCAGGTTTGGCGCCAGATGCTGAGATCAGGGCTTCTTCCGAAAACATACAACTATAACCTGCTGCTGCGAACTGCAAGGGATTGTGGGATTGGCGATCCTGCCCAGACCTCTGCCGTGCTGCTGAAGCCCGACCAGGGGTACGAGGGGAAACGTTTGTCAAAGTTACAATCCACAGAAAAGGTGCTCCTAAGCATTGACCTCCTGGAGAGGCAGCTGTGTTTCCAGCCTGATGCTCGCAGTGACAGTCAGCCGGACGGCAGAGGCAGCGAAGAAGAGTCTAACATAAAACAAGACTCAAGCCATTTGGTGCCAGTCAGACAAATAGAAACGTCCCCACTGCCTGTGGACTTAGCAGCAGACTCTACAGCCCCTAACCTACTGGACCTTTTTGAGGGTAAGAGGGTTGCTGTGGTCTCCCTCGGCACCGTAGCTGGAGCAGCTGATAGGCTCGCCCTCATCGGAGGAGCGAAAGGTTTCCTGGAGAAGATGAAAGCTAAGAGCCTCAGTCCGGACCTGAAGACCCTGACGCTGCTGGCCGACACCATGGAGCCGGGGTATGAGTCCCTGCAGATGCTCCTGAGGGTCGCCAAGGAGCACAAAGTGAAGCTCGACGTTGCGTTCTTTAACTCTGTGATTCGCAGAGCAGCCAGAACAGGTGACCTGGAGGAGGCGAAGGTACAAACACACTGACTGCAGTCAAATAGTGTTTTTGCTAAGGAAGGTTCCTCACTCTGTAAAATGACCTGAACGTTTTCAATTGGCAACACCAATAAGAGCTGATCTGAATCTAAATGCTAAGAAAGTATCATCAATGCTTCCTTACTTATTTTTTTACATTTTGAACTTGTAACAGAGCAATTTTATTTTACACTGTGTTTCTGATACTTTTACTTTGGTAAAGACTGTGAGTACTTATTACCCCACTTCTGTTATTAACACTCAGACTTCGCTGTGAACAGTTTTCACAAGAACTACATTCTATTTGAAGAAATCGTCCCTATGAAAACTGTTGACAGTGAGTTGCTGTGAGAAATTAAGCAGACCCCATCCCCAAATACATACCATTACTTGGTGATTGAACTGAAGTGACCCTTTTGAAGTGTGTGTGCATATTTGTGATGCAGTTCTTTCTCTTTCCAGGGTGTGTTAAGTGTGATGCGACAGCGTAATGTAAGCGTGGATGTGCAGACCTTTGGGAGTCTAGCGTTGGGCTGTGAGCGACAGGAGGACGGGCTGCAGCTGCTGAAAGACATGGAGGTGAGTCTCATGTTTCTATAATCAAGGATAGGAAATCTATGTTCATTTATATTTAATTGTATTACTTGTGTTTACGGACAACACCTTCCACAAATGTAGAAACATATTTGAAATTGTTAATATATTTAGAAAATATAAAACAAATCCGCAAATATACGAACAAGTTCAACAAATAAATAAAACATATCTGTGAATAGATGATACATGGCCCAAGGGACACAAGTGTACTTTTTAGAATTTGTTTGTGTTTCATATTTGCAGAATAAACATTTTAAACATGGATTTTGGATGTATTCCCATAAATCAAATGGAACAATTCTATTTTTTTTTTAACTAACATTTGTTTTATGTAAATGTAAACACAGATGGCATGTTTAAAAATATTTTATTGAGTATTGGCTTTAACTGTGTCATATTAAACGACTCTACATCAGCAGTAATTGTATTGAGCAGTAATACTAATTGTTTTATTGTTTTTGTTCATATTTACATGTCTGATCTTTGCAGGAGGCAGGGTTCAAACCTAATGTCCAGGTGTTCTCTGCTCTGATTGGCCGAGCAAGTCGGAGACTGGATTATGTTTACCTCAAAACATTGCTCAAAAGCATGACAAGCATGGGGGTGGCCCCTAATAAAGTCATCATCAAACAGCTGGAGTTTGCCTCACAATATCCTCCCAACTATAACCAGGTAAATATCTGCACAGTACATCAGGGAGGTCCATCAAGTGTTCAGTACACAGCTGAGCTAAACACACATCTGTGTGGATGAGTAGAGGCTTAGTTTGTTCTCAACAAAACATCTTCAAGACTCTACTGTTTAGTCTTCATGGCACAATCATTTTTAGGTGACAAAAGTCAAGAATAATATGTTCACAGGGTGATAATATGTCAGTGTTGTGTTTTTAGCTTATTATATTGGCCTCAAGTGGCCAAAAAATAAGCACAACATGATGATTAAAGTCAGTTGTGTTTCTTGAAGGATTCCATTCTACATTTTGTCAGTATAGTTTGGCAGATTTGGTTGAATTGGCCTAGGTTTTTATTTTGCGTTTCTGGCACTCGCATCATTACACTTTAATTTTTTTCCCCCAACAATCCCAGTACAAGTCCAGAAACAACTACCTGGTGCATATCGAGGGTTTCCGTGGATTCTACCAGCAGTGGCTGAGATTCATGCCTGGTCAGAGCGCTGAGGAGGAGCTGCAGCCTGAGGCGGAGGATGAGAAGCCGAACACAGACGCTGCAGATGGACTGACGAAGAGCCAGAGTAATCAGAAAGCAGCAGGCAGGAGATATGGCTCTCGTAACAAGGACAAGACGGACAGCAATGCTCTGTAACAGCACTTTCTCCTCTGTGGGTTTGCCTTCAGCTGTGTAACCCTGGATGGACTTCGGGTTAATGTTGTAGCTCATGGACCCATTGTCAGTTGATGTAAAGCAAAAGCGTTTTCCTCCAAAGTGTGATGTTATTGAAATGTATATTGCAATTTAAATAAATAGTTTGAGAAATGAAGCATTATCTTGGTTGTGTATTACATTATATTAAAATAAAAAAATTAACAATTTGTATGGTCTTTTTTGGAGCAAACTATGGCATTCACTGGCCTTTGTGCAGTGCAATGCAAAATACTACAAAAGAATATTTATATTTTGTTTTCTATTCAAAAAGATATATACAGTATGTACATCAGACATAACACACAAACAAAACATGGACATCAGGGGTACATAGGCACATATACAGAGTAAAATAAATAATATGAAGAAATAGTGATAAAAACAAAAGGTAACATTTCAATTAAAATATTTATCGAATAAACATTTGGTTTACATTTTTTTAAGATATAATAAATGTAGCTGCCACATTGTTGTAATTCTAATTAAAATGTGCAATATTTGGTTTAAAGTCAGTCTTTATCCTCTTGTGAATAAGAAATGTTCATAAAAATAAGATTAGTTGTATAAAAAAACACAGTATTGCTTTAGCCTTGTTCTCCACACTGCAGCCCAGTAGGTGGCGGTAATCCTACTTCAAACCTGTTTGCCATCCACCAGTAAAGCCAGCGAAGAAGAAAAGGAACGTCACATCCGGTGACGGTGAGCATAGGAATCGCCGAGCGCCAAAATAAATGTACTCATTTGTTGATTGATTCAACTAAGGTAAGTTTATTGTATCTAAAATCAAACCGTCAATGTAAACTTATTTAATATCTATTTGTTGAAGTAAAGAAGTGCACTTTTAATGTTGACATAATGTTGGACTGTTTTTACACTTATTTAACTTTCGGTTTCCTGCCTTTAGGAACGCTAACTAGCATATTTTGAAAGTACGAGAATACTAACGTGGTTTAGTGAAACCAAGTGAAAACTAGCAAAGCAGGCATTGTTTCCGACAAAGACTTAACATGTACAGTGGTATCGGTATCGACATGACCTTGCTCTCTTTCCAAAATCCTAACAAACCAGTATGTAAACTTTAACAGTTTCGGAGTGAAAGAAAAGTTGTTATTGGACATTGTAGTTCGTTATTGAGGGTTTCCATTTCTTTCTGAAACTTCATACTTACTATTGCACTGAATTTCAGAGGAAAATATTGGACTTTTTACTGCACATCATCAAGAGTTGTAGTTACTTTTGAGCCATGATGACTTTATAGAATATAATGCAATGCTATGAAACTACCCAACCAAATACAAAGGGGTAAAAATCAGCAGTCACAAAACTACATGAATATATCAGTTTTATTAATCTAAAAACAACAACAAAGTACTCAAAGGAAATATTTTACTGAAAGAATTGTACTTTTGATTTGCTATGGTTTTATGAGCTGGGCTTGAATTCATTGTATTGTGAAAAACATTTTAATTCAGTAATTGTAATAATGTATTTAATCAAAGGATCTGAATCCTCCTTCCACCACTGCCTAAAGACTAGACCAACATCTTATGCATAGTATTCATTCTTGAGTTAATGAATGCCTTTTTCTTTATCCAGTTTTCCGATGTGTACGACTGGAGAAATTATCATCCTCAGTGATGATGACGACTGTGAAGACGTACCACCCAACGAACTCTCGGTTTTCATCGTGGAGGTGGAGGATGTGAAGAAAAGTGGTAACAGCTGTTTACTCACTAGCAGTCTGTAAGTGAGGGTGTTTATGTTATAAAGAGTTAACTATAGCTGCTCCTCTTCTGCTTTTCAGAGTGTGCTGTACCTCCCACCGCTCTGGATGAAGACCTGGTCATCACCTTCTCCCGCAGCGCTGAGGTCCTTCCTCACGCACGCTACGACTGTCCCATACATCCCTTCACGTGAGTAAATTACCACACAAACACTCTTTGGTGGTTTAACGGTAAACAGAAGTCACGGTTCGGTTCATACCTCGCTTTAACAGTCACAGTTCAGTTGAGCAGAAAAAAGCATCCAAATGCCCAAGGATATCTTTCTTTTGATTTGTGTTCCCATACTTTGTGAATATTGTGCTTCTTCTTTTTTTTTACCTCTATTCAGTTATTGACACTTCCTCTGTTCTGTACTTTTCAGGGCTACAGATTGTGAGGTCTCTGTTCCTGTTCCCAATAACCACCTCATGTGTGATCAGTGCTTCTGCTACATCTGCGACAAGCTGGCCTCATCGGTATGTGGTGACTTACCGTCTGAAATAGTTAAATATATTCAGAATGACCTTAAATTAAAGTTTTTTTGCATTTGTTGTTGAAAGAAAAGTGCCTCACAGCTGCATTAACGTTGTCCTGTGTGTGTGTAGTGTAAGTGGTGGTGTTACAGCGGTTTGTGTCACTGCAACAGCCACAAGAAGAGTGACTTTTGGAACAACCACAGAAACTGTGCGCTGCTGGGAGGACTGAAGACTTTTAACCTCACTTTGTCTGAAGTAGACTCTCACCTCCGAAATGCAGGTAGACGCTCTCACAAACACATCTGGAAATCTCAGTGACATTTGGAAAACCACAGACTTGAATTACATGTAATCTAACTGCCAATGGATGTCTCTTCCTCTTGTCCAGAAACGATGCTGCAGAGCTTCAGACAGGAGCTCTCCACACTGTACGGTGTCTTCTTGAAGGGACGAGTGCTGGAGGAGTGCGGTCCGATCCAAACACGCAAGAATTGCCGCATCTTTGAGTGAGTGACGTAATAGAGCTGTAATACATTTATATATCAGGGGTTATTCTTTTTTGCATGAAAGTCTTTAGGATTTCTAAATGTTTGTACCAAACTTTGTCTTTCCAACAACCCAAACAACAGTGTAGCATATAAGGGTCACTTAACAGTTTTTCACATAAAGTTCAAGATATTAAACGTCTTTAGGTATAAAAAAAAGAAGCTGTTATTGAAGGGGGGAAATATTCTGGTCATTATTAAACTCAGATTTTCCCTACCTAGACTGCTTCGGTAATCAAGGTGAAACACTGAAGGCTATAAAATGACAATGACCCGTACATGATTATCAACCTGAGTGAATGCGATGAGATTACGAGTCGAGTGTCAAGTCGCGGTGTGTGAGACTCGAGACGCAACCAAAAACCATACCATGAAAAACAATCCAAATTGAACAAAAGTATGTGGACATCTACATGCAGTGAATACACAATAGACCAAAAGCTTGGTGTATAGCATGGATACAAAAACACCATTATGTCAGAGCATTGACATTATCAACAAGTTATAAATGACTGTATCTTTTGTTGTTTTTTTGCAGTTACACTCCTGTGTACGAGCATGTGTCATCCTTCCTGAACAAAGCAGATCAACAGGACAGCCGAGCTGCTGCCATCATGATGCTAGGAGCCACTGAGGACTTTATTAGACATTTTCAAGTCTCAGGGTACACACACACATACACACACATCATTTAGCATTTCCTGTTCTAGCTTCAATGGTTATTTTCACAACTTTTATGTTTTTTGTGTATTAATTTCCTCCGGGATTATATGATTCTTTACAGGACTTTCCTTTTACAGTCTCCCAGTGCTGATGCTGTTAAAGCCAGACTACTTTTATTGCAGCGGTAAACACACACACACACACACACACACACACACACACACACACACACACACACACACACACACACACACACACACACTTACATTACATTTAGCTGACGCTTTTATCCAAAGCGACTTACAATAAGCGCATTTGACCAAGAAGATACAAACTTGAAGAAAACAGAATCATATAAGTACATCAGGTTTCATAGAGCCAACACATTTCAAGTGCTACTCAACTGGCTTTAGATAAGCCAGTCCTTTATTAGTATATAAGTGCTTTGTTAGTAATTCTATCGCTCGAAGTGGAGTCGAAAGAGATGAGTTGTCAGTCTGTGCCGGAAGATGTGTAGGCTTTCTGGTGCCCTGATGTCAAGGTTGAAGACCAGACGAGCCGCTGCATTCTGGATGAGCTGCAGAGGTCGGATGGCACATGCACGTAGACCAGCCAGGAGGGAGTTGCAGTAGTCTAGGCGTGAGATGACGAGAGCCTGGACCAGAACCTGCATCGCTTTCTGGGTCAGCTGGGGACGTATCCTCCTGATGTTGTAAAGCGTGTATCTGCAGCAGCGGGTTGTAGCAGCGATGTTTGCAGTGAAGGACAGTCTGTTATCTAGGATCACACCCAGATTCCTTGCAGTCTGAGTCGGGGAAACAACAGAGGTGCCGATGTTGATTGTTAGGTCAAGAGTGGGACAATCTTTTCCCGGAAAGAAAAGCAGTTCAGTCTTGTCAAGGTTGAGCTTGAGGTGGTGAGCAGACATCCACTTGTTTGAATGACAGGAGTAAACACAGCTGACAGCCGCAGTGGAACTCGAGCGATTGGAGTGATGGGAATATTCAGAGCTTATCTCCATGTAAATACTATGGTAGACTACAACAAAATGAAGATATTTTACCGTGATTTAATTGTAATGCACGTTTCAAAATTATGCCGAAGTAACTACATACTGATACTGGTTAGTAAAAACCATGAATTAATGCTTTGACAAGTTTGCAGACAAGATGGCAAGCGAAAAACATTTTAAAATGCATGTTTTCTGAATGGAGAACGGATCGATCAGACTAAACTAACCTGGAGCTGCTCCGTCCACACTCACAACAACGTCGTCATACAGACAGAAATAAAGCAGCGACTGTATTCGCCATGACACAGACAGTCTGTGGCTTGTACATGTTTAACCTTTGTCCAGTTTCTGAACGGATATGAGGAGCTGTGAGCTCTGTGTGCTAACAGCTAACGGCTGATGTTTTGGGACATGTTGCGCTGTTGGGTGCTGGCCAATCACGAAGCGTCCTTTCTTGACTGGCAGCAAAAACAACCAATCACAGCAGTGCTTCTCTGGCTGGCTCTGTCCAATCACAAACAAGAAGTGTTCTCCTAAAGGAATACCCTTTCCGTAAAAGTTGAAATGTTGAAGTGTTTTGTGAAATGCTGTGGTGTTTAGTGAAATGCTGTAGCATTTTGTGAAATGCTGTGGTGTTTTTCGAAATGTCGTTGTGTTTTATGAAATGCTGTAGGGTTTTGTGAAATGTTGTTTTGGCTTGCACTTCAGGGCCACCATACATATCTATACGCTGGCATAAATATGGAGCTATACAGCCAGATGCTGGTTGGATTAGTTTAGTACAAGAACTGGAAACAGTTAGTCTGGCTAACAAAAGTAACAAAATTGATCTCCATTTTAACTTGTATACGATATTTATAAATTAAATATAGTAACAGATGTCACAAATCTACTTTATTATTGTGTGTTTTGGTATGACCGCACATATTAGAGATAACAACTTTGGTCTCCAAAAATAAAATGGATACGGCATGCAGGTGGACTAAAAGCATATGAACATATGATAAGTACCCTGTATCAAGATTGATGCAAAACAAGTGACATTTGACCTTTTTACAGAGATATAGAAAAATAAACCCACTTCTGGGGTCATTTGGGTGCATTTTCCGTATCTTTGGCCCCCTTCGGTCGATTTTGATAATTGACACCTCTTTTTAACCGTTAGAGCCAATAGGATCGAGGGGAAACCTCCGGGTTGAACAGGTTAAGGAAGATATGGGATTAATTAAAAGCTCTGTGATCTTCTTTTTTTAAAATTTTTATAGTGGCATTACACCACTTTTCTTTGGTGTGCAGCGAATTTAAAAGTTTGTCACACTAACCATTTTTTTTATCAATTATAAATATAGTAACAGAAGTGTAAAAACGACTTATTATTGTGTGACTATTTCTAGGTCAGGTGCAATGAATTCCTGAAGTCTCAGCCAAGGCTGGCAATCTCAGTTGAAGCAACTAGATAGGAATTCAATTAACACGTGCAATGTTATAACAGCAACATATTAGTTGCACTTAATATAAATTACTTGGAAGGTAAATTAATATGTATTATCTTGTCATTCCAACAGTTTAGCCCATTGCAAATGGAAGTACAAGATGTAATGTGCAATTTTCCAGTAACACAAATCTATCACTGTAGGAAAAACAAAATAAAATATTGTATATTTTGACATAGGCCCCTGTAGAAATTCCATACAGTATAGATGTACAGATAACAAATATATGAATTGTAGAAAAGGGATCAGCAATAAATGAAAGCTGGTGCTAGTGTCCGAGCATGTAAAACAGTTTGATTCAAAGTACTATCCTGATGTTGAAAGTTACTGGAACATTTATTTAAGTGCAAAATGAGTGGCTGCTCATGCAGGAAGAACATCTGTCGCGGCCAACTCTATCTGTTTGTTAGTTAGTTAGATATGTTTTGGTATGACCGCACATCTTAGAGATCACAACTTTGGTCTCCAAAAACTAAATTTGCACGGCATGCATGCAGGTGGATTGGTAAAGGTCACGAGGATGATATGGGATTAATTCAATTGTGGCATTACACCACTTTCCTTTGGACTGCAGGGAATTCTAAAGTTTGTTCTTCTAACTAATTAATTCTATACATGTCGGCCACGCATAACTAATTTTAGGTTTCCTATTCAGAGACCTGACAAGTGCAAGATGTGTGACTAAGTCAAGTGATGAAAAAACATAATGCAATCGCATGCAGAAAGTATATTTTTGTGAAAATATTCAGGTTGCATCATTATACTTCCTTCTCCTTTCTTAAGGATATGGTATTGTGTATTGCAAATTGGGAAGTATTGTACATTATATAGCCTCAAAGAAAGGTAATACCTTAAATAAACGCATCCATGACAGTTGTCACAAATCCCTCTGCTACAAAAAAGATCAAGAATGATCTTATTATCTCCTTTTCATACATTTGCACATTCAACATTCACCCAATCTTTCCTATTGATTGAACTGTTAATGACGTTTTGTTTTATTAGACAATAAAGGTAGGCTAATATTTTCACCACATAAATCCATCCTGTGTTGCTATGGAAACTGTGAATGTCAGCATGTGTGACTGAAAGTCTTGTAGGCATGATGGCTCAAACATCACTGGAGCTACATCTTATCAAAACTCCTCGCTTGTTAAAAGTTTGTGAGACTTTGTGCCTGATCTCCATTCCTCTCACTACCAATCAATGTGCTTGACATTTCCTCTTTGTCGGTGTGGAACTCCTGGTTACAGACTTTAAAAAGTCTAGAGAAAAATGTGTCAATTAAGACGTTCTGCAGGACATTCTCATTCTGTTGCTTTATCTTAAATGGCACTATCTTTTGGTGATGGATAATGCAACACGTAACTTTTGACATATAAGAGTCTCTTATTTAACTGTTTCACTCTCTCTAAGCCATTGTCTCTGCTAAATATCTGCATTTTGAATTGATGGACTGTGTGCGGGAGACTCTTACTTACTCTGAGACTAGATATAAATCAGATAACTGCCTTTACTGCTCGAGTGAAGCTGCTGCACGTGCTCACATTACGTTGTAGATACAACCTGACCTCACCAGAATGCGTGACTCCACCACAACTCCTTAACACCGCATTGCGTGGTGGAGTCACGAACTTTGCTACATGTACGTGTCTGCACCACGCAAACAACCCCAATGTAAAGTGAATGAGGCTCCTTTTGTCGTGGTGCACACACGCATTTCTACAACGTCCAGCAGTGAGCTTTTATTCTATAAACGTTTTTTAAATCTACTTTATAGCTTGTAGTAACTCACGGGAGGCTTCTTTTATTTTATTTGTATTCATAATTATTTGTATTTTTCGTCAGAATGGCAACCCTGTCTCCTAAAAAATACGTTCCCACAGAACTAAACTGCATTCTCAATAACGTTTAGCTAGAAACGTATTTTCTCCCACGTTACGTTCCTTATGAACGCATCTCAAATACGTTTATTTTCTACATATCTTTGCCATTTATTGTCTTGCTTATGATAATGATAATAGTCATTTATAAATATCATTTTAGAGCACACATTTGAAATCAGTAGGCGAGGCTGTAATTTCTCCAGCTGTTACTCTCATGAGCGAGGCAGAAAATAATAGTTTTATCATGCCAAAAAGCTGCTGTGTCGTTTATTGTACCTCAAACATTATAACAAATCCAGAGTTACGTGTTTCTGTACTTCCCCTAAGAAGAAAGGACAGTANCGTTGAAACATGGTACAACACAAGTGTAGGCTAAGTACTAGGCTAGCATCCCTCCTCACATGTTTTCACTCTCTGCAAGTGCCGGTGCCGCACCGCGTTTGGAGGCAGGACCAAACCATTACATGTAAATAGAAGGGGGTGTACAGAGGCTTTGGATAATTAACTTTTGGAAGAAAATAAGTTAAATTAATCGTAAGTTTAGTGAGTACTTTATCAATATAACGTTCTTTTAATGTTAATTATTGAGGATTGATGAAAGGTTACTTAAAAAAAAATGTCTTAATGTTCTAAACATTTTGGGGCCCCCGTCAGTTACGGGCCCTTAGAATCGTCCTAACTTTTCACCCCCTTACGGCGCCCCTGAGTGAAAGTGCAGTCGGATTCTCTAAAGTACCGCAGTCTCTTCTCCTAAATCATTTTTGAATTCTTCTATCCACTATCCCTTAACGCCGTGACGTTTCACTCAGAGGTCAAGGAATAGACGATAGGGCTAGAATTTAGGGGCTGATTTTTGGATTATCCGACTGCAGCCCTGGCTCTCTCCTTCTCCTCTGGCTGTGCAGCATGGTGTCTATGTCTCTGTGTGAAACCTGTGTTCTGTTAATTATTAGGAGATGTGCTCCAGTGTATATTTGTGTTCTAGTTTATTTTAGTTTGCTTTGCAAGTTGGCTGGTGAGCCCTTTTTCTTTGACCCATTTCCTCTCCTTTTTCTCTCGCCCGGTCATTTTATATTTTGTTACTTCCCTTTGCTTCCCCCAGCCCAGTAGGGAACGTAACACCAAGAAATAAAAAAAACGACATTAAAAAAAAAAGTGAAAAAGAAGACAGTGGAAAAAATTGAAAAAAATGACTAACTGTAGAAAAAAGTGAAAGAAAATACAGTAGAAAAAAAACGACAGTCGAAAAAAGTGAAAAAGATGACAAGTCCGGAACTGTCGAAAAAAGTAAAAAAGAAGACAGTAGAAAAAAGTGAAAATAGACACTGTATGCTGTTTTCAAAAACCAACCATTTATAAACAATTAACCCTATAGACACAAGTAGGACCTCTTTTAAACCAGTAAAACCTTATTAGGAAACCATTACATATTCTTATAAATAAAAATATTTTTATAAAATCTGTAATTATCTTGTTAACCTGTAAAGCCATTTTTGTAAACCATTAACACCTCTTTCATGATCCAGTTTCAATTTGTTAAGGGTTATGATTACAGAGGGGAAAAGATATGTATTCAAATTTCATGAAAAAATATCTTTAAAATTGTTGTATTTACTCTGCGATCACAACCCTTAACAAGTTCAAATGTAAAGAGTTGTTGATGGTTTATAAAAGTTTTTTCTGGTTTATGAGATATTTATGGATTAAATAGATACAAATCCAGAGAGTAAAACCTCTCATTAACCAGTAAAACCTTAAACACCTCTTAAAAAACTGAAAAACCTTAAAACCAGTTCAACCTTTCATTGACAATTACAAACACTTATAAAAAAACTTCTATACAAAAGTAAAAACTTAAAGGCTTATTAAAACGTTTAACCATTAAGACCCATGGTCTTACCAACCATGCAGTAAAACATCTTAAAATCCCTTCAAATGTTTCACTTACCATAAAGCTCTCTTACAAACTGTAAAAATTATGATATAAACCATGTTTACATCGTATACACTGTAAAACCTTTTTAAACGATTACAAAATTGTAAAAAAACAGTAAAACCTAAACCTTAGAGATCTACAGAGCAGCAAAATGTCTCACAAACCGTGAAAACCTCTTATAACCCTTTGAAACCTTTTCAGGAATAATGTAACCTCTTATCTTGTGAGCAGCGTGTCCTCTCTGGTGACTTCTCCTCTCACAGACTGAGGGTCTGCTGCAGTCCTGCTGAGGCTGAGTTCCAACGCTTTGTAACATCACACGGAACACAATGTCGGAAGGTGAGGGAATGTGTTTCCATGGCAACCAGGAAAACTGTATTAAAATCAGTAAAGCACCACAACTACAACTTAATGAATGATTTAAGAATTGGTAAATGAATTAAAAGCATGATGCAACTTCAACTTAAAAGTCCATTAATATCTGATACATTTCTGCACATTAGGTTGTATTTTAAAACAATCTTCCCAATGTCCATATGGTGAAATTAAAACACTGCTCCTGTCCATGGTGGCTTTAAAGATATCACTTATCGATGCTATTGTGATAGGAAACACGACGTACAGTTCATATTCTACAGTATCTAAACATACACATTATATCACTGCCACATCTTAAGAGCATTATAAACATACTTATAAATATAATTATAAGTACTTATGTTCATTATGCTTCATAAAGATAATCATAACACAAACATAACTTATAAAGTCAAATATCATACTTTCTTCTATTTTCTGACACTACAAAGGGAACGTTTTAACATTCAACGACGGTTTGATTTTTTTGTTAGAAAATAAAAATTCAGAGCAACTTTGTGAGAATCTAATCATATGATTTCATTTTTATTTGCAGTTTCACTGTTCAATCACAGAAAAATCTATTTTCTCTCACTCAGCAAGAAAATATATAACTGAAGAAATGACCAGAAACATTCATACAGTGTTTAAAAGCAACTACATAACATTATTAGGCGATTTTTCTCATAACTTAAAGGGTCATCACCCAAGCGAGATTGGCAACAGACTGAACAATGAACAAGACAAACAAATACTGCACACCTCAACCTGCAGGATAATAAAATATACACTTTGTGTTAAATAAGTCCAACACAGATGGACTGAATGATTTAATAAGTGCATTAAAACCTGTTTTTTTAGCAGGTCATTATTACTTAGAATATATTAGATAATTAGGAAACTAATGCCGAGCACACTTCATGAGTTAGAGGTTAGAAAGATGCACTTAAGCATAACATGTCCTCTGTTGCTTATTTGTATAATGAGCTGTTCATGGCCCATCACTGACTCACTGTAAAATAATAATACCACAAACTCAAATGCAGACTTGGCTGCGTGTTGTTATGATCAGGCACATCCTGCGTTTCCATCAATCTGTTTTCATAAGCAATTTCTATTGACGCTTAAAAACCTGAGGGGAAACAAAGAGAATTAAAAAAAAAAAATCCTGAAGTATTGCAAAAAAGGTTTTACTGTTGGCTGAGATGGAAAAGTTGGAGCAAACTCAGACAAAGTGCGATAGAAACAGACTTAGCGAATAAATGATGATGTTCATGAAGCATGGGACTTCAAAGTCCACTGATGCTTTTGCTCGGCTGAAGAAATGATTTATTGCGGCCGATTAAAACAGGCTTCACCGATCGGATGTATCGTCCTCACATAGATACGTGAAACGAGAACAAATGTCATATTTCCATTGACTTCCTGTTCAGGTCGGACTGGCGCCACTTCCATTGTCCTGCCATCTTGTTGCGCCCTCTTCTTCTGCAACAGTATAATTGTTTTTGAATTGGCTTATCTCTCTGAACCAACTCCTGAATATCAGTAGTGGACAAAAGGAAACACGGACTTGGGTTTTTCTTTTGATGATTTTCTGGAAATTCGTTTAGGATTTGCGATACATTTGGATGAAAGCCTGGCAACAGTTTCAAACATTCTGATAAACACTTCCTCTGCTCCTTTTTCTTGGCACGTCTCCTTTCCTCGGAGTGGTTTGTTCAGCTTTATTATCACTTTCACATCCGTCTTCATGTAGATTCTCCTCCTCTAACAGGCCGGCCATTTTCCAACTGTACCCTGTTGGTTTGCGTCAAAGCAGGACGGAGGAACAACGTGAGTAGGCAGAGGGCATAACACAACATTTTGGATGATTCCTCCTCTGATCTGTGTGTGTCAGAGAGGTGTAAAGTGCTGTATGGGCAGACAGTTATATGAGCAGTATTTCGGGCTCTGTGATGGAGCAGTAGAGCATGAAGCCCATCTGGTCCACCTGGTCCTCTGACAGGCCGCTCAGCAGGTTGACCGCTGGCTTGAAGTAACTGTGCAGCGCTCCGTTCTCCAGGTAGCCAATCAGCTCCGTGATGCACTGCTGGAAGCGAGCGTGCAGGCTGCTCTCGGACCAGTCGCTCTCCCCGTCACTGAGGTGCAGGATGAGGTTGGAGAGCGGCGCGGCTTCCAGCGGCCGGAGAGCGGGGTTCAGTCTGCACACCGCCTTCAGGATTTTGAGAGTTTGTCTGCGGCGTCCCCCGTCAGCGGTGTCCAGCTGAGACAGACGCTGGTTCTCCCAGGGGTAGAGGGACAGGTGCCAGGCGTTGACCCAGGGAGAGGTGAGCTCCGTCTGGGCGCTCAGCACCACGTCCCCCTCCCTCAGCAGAGGCAGCATGGAGACGAACAGGGGCTCATCCCCGGTCTCTGCCCCAAATTCATCCAAAGGCCTGAGGGAGGACAACAGGAGGAAAGTTCATTACAGAGAAGGAGAACATGGAGTTTAACACACTCACATCACAGGGCAATCGCCAATTTTGGTATCTAGCAGGTAAGGAGTTACATAACAATTTGATACTAAAACTAAAATAACTTGATTATGGACATTCACATTTCATCTGGACAATGCTGGAGTACATTTAGTTTTTGTAGGGACCTTTTATGGGAAAACAGTGAGATGTGAACGCCCATTACTTAGCTGTTTATCATCAAAAAGTCTAATTGAAGTACTGGATTTCTGATATAATGACACTTTAAACAAATATGTTTACATTTTTTTAAAGTTTTGTGTGCTCTGCCTTCATCGCATTACTTCACTTAAACCACCCAATGACCACTGAGTAACTTAAATACAATTATAATGCCTTTCAACAGTGTTTATAATGCAACATCATTAAAATACCCTTTGATCCTTGCAATAAAACAATTTGTTTGATGTACTAAAGACACGAGTCATTTTGCATCATAATTCATAAAAAAAGGCTTTCAAATGTGTTATGATTATTGTGATAAAGTAATATGAATTTATATTTTTATTTATTCAACAGGGACAGTGCACATTAATGAACATTTCTGTAAATGTGCCAGAGTTAGCCAAGAGGCTATTTTTCATCTGTAGTCCCTGGACAGATTTTAAAAGTCAACCTAAAAATCAATTTCATTTTAAACAAGTAAATACAATCAATTAAAAACATGCAACAGACATTACCGGAATACTTCAATAAAATGCTTTAAAAGACAGAACAATAAAAAAAAACAAAAGAACATGTTAAAACACAGGCAGTGGGTTTTAAGGAGCGGAAGATTGGCAGAGCTGATTCCTCACGAACCAGGTTCTGAGTTTTGATTTAAATAAACTGAATGTAGGCTGGTCTCTGATTGGACATGGGATTGAGTTCCATTGCTGAGCAGCTTTAACAGAAAAAGAAGACTGACTGAAAGAACTTTTTCTGAGTGGAATAATGCAATCTCCTCTCGCTGCACCTCTTGTTATCCTAGTTGCAGTTGTGCGTATGTTAATAAACTGTCTAAGAGGAGTTGAGGTAAGGCTGTTGACAACCTTTAAAAAGGCAAGCATTTGCATGTTTAAGTTTTCCCAGCTCAACAAGTTGTATTTTTTTAGTATTGGGCAGTGATGTGAATAAACAGGTTTCTTATCCAGTATTTTGAGCGTTTGTTTGTACAATGACTCCAGTGGTTTCAATGTTGTTGTAGTGGCATGTGACCAGGTCGTTAAACAGTAGGTGATGTGTGAGAGAACCATAGAGTGTGTGTACATCAGAGATGCCTCAGTTGACATGTCATCTCTGGTGAACCTAACATTTGACAGACTGAATTTGACACTATTGCATACTTTTTTAACCTGAGCCTTGAAATTGAGTGTTGAATCAATCATGACTCCAAGGTGCTTGTATTGTGACACCACCTGTAGCCTCTCCCCTGATACAAAAACATCTGGCTCAACACAAGAGGACTTTGTTCTGGTGAAGAAGATGCATACTGTTTTACAAATATTTGCAAACAGCATTGTTCCAACCAAGTTGTTACATGAACCATGGTGTTTGTCAGTTCATTAGCCACTTGTGTCATATACCTATATTTAAGCTGATTATCTCAGATAATAAGTATGTTTAACATGTATGGGAGACATAGGTATAATAGAGAGTGTAACTGTAATTGACTCATCATTAATAACAACATTAAGACACACACCGTATCTCCAGCTTCAGGTCGGGTCCTCCCAGCACCGGTCTGACGAGGCAGTCCAGAGTGCTGCTGATGGACGGCCAGTTTATCGTCTCCATGACAGCTTTACTGAACATGTTCACCACAGCTTCTGCTGACAGGTAACCCCCCACCAGGTACCTGCAACACACAAGGAGAGAGGCTGCCTTTACAGAGTGTCTCAATTCACAGGATGACTTTTTAAATTACTTTTTAAAAATAGTATTAAAAGCATTAATGGCTTCTTCGTGGCAAGTTAACATTCCTCCATGTACTCCAAACTAAAAGTTACGTATATTGTGTGTTAGCAAGTGAAGTTGCATAACTCGCTTTAACATATGAAATATTATAATCTTGTTTAGAACAAAGGGTGTTGGTACACATGGGCATTTATAATATTGTATAAACACAGGAGAGAAAACTGTCAGATCAGAGGTAGAAAATAGATCTACAGACACACAGTTGTTGTTGCTAAAGAGCAGTAATGATCTAAAAGTGACACCAGCTGACCTGCATTTTTCTGTATTGACACAAACCCTTGAGGCTGTACGACCAAACAAAAATACAGTTTCTGTGTATGATCATGATCACCTGTCCCAGTAGCTGCGCCCTCTGGGAAAATACTCCAGATTGACCCGTCGGACCATCCAGTGCAGCGGGTGAGTGAGCAGCGTCTCCTCCCCCGGAACGAGGCGCCACAGAGAGGCCTCCAGCTGCAGAGGCACCAGCAGACAGGCATGGTCCGCACTCACCACCTACACACACACACACACACACACACACACACACACACACACACACACACACACACACACACACACACACACACACACACACACACACACACACACACACACACACAAAGTTTGCTTTGATATTTTGAGGAATTGTGTAAATATATAAATGCAGTTTGGCTTAATCTTTTGAAAAGGGTGACGTTAACTTTGTTTTTCATATTTGATTATTCATCCAATGAGAAGTGTTTATTTATGTGATTGTATGTTTCTAACTTTGAACTGTATATGGAAAACTAACCAATGCTTATGCTCTGCTCTGCTCTTGTGAATCCTTATAGAGAAATGCAGAAACATTGATCTGCCACCAAGACTTCATTTAAGGTAAGAAGAGGACTTCTGGTGTGTGTGTACCTGCAGGTCGTCCAGAAGAGATCCTCCGAGGTTCATTTCTCCCAGCGGCATGTCGGGCAGGCGGCTGTGCAGGAAGCCCTGGATCTCCGTGCAGATGTCCAGCGCCAGAGACTGAGCCCTCCGGATCTGTCCTGGAGCCAGAGCCGCCCTCGTGTGATAGTACTGTTGCAGGCGCTCCTACACATAGTTCAAACATGTTCAATGTTCAAGAGCTCAGGCAGACAGATACTGTACTGTATTCACACACCTGTTAGAATTTACATTATATCTGCATTGTTGAAAGTATTCTCATATGAGTAACTTGAAAAAGATGTCACTATCATTGTAGAAAAAGGAAAATAGAGCCTGGTTTAAAACATCCAGGAATGATCAGTCTCACACAGTGTTGTTGTCTTAATGATTTAAGAATACATCATTTAAAATAGTTCCCTGAAAAACAATGTGACCTACTGTATCCGTGATGAAATAATACTAATATTAAACAAAAATGCAAGGTTTACCGGTTCCAGTATGTTCAGGTGTGATTTGAATTTTCATCCAGGTGATACCATGAATGACAATTACTTTTGATAGGATTATCATAACATTCCTTATAATCCTGTGCCTAACTTTGTTACTGAGAACCAGCTCTCTTCCTAATATGAACAACACAGTTTGGAAGTTTTCACATTTCCCTGGGAATACATCAAGCCGTCTCTTGAGTAATATCACATTCAAATACCTCATTCACACCAACGCAACTCCGGTTCAAGCTCCGTGCTAGAGCTTTTCAGGTTCAGAACCGGTTCTTCGGTTTAGCTCCGGCTCTTTTCACACTGCCCAGAGTCAGACTGGTGCTGCGTCATTGCGTCATCGTTTGCGTCATGACGTAACCGTTTGCGTGCCTGCTTCATAAAGCCAAAGCACGCGGAAACCCCTCACAGCTGACACCGACAACAACAACAATGGCCGATTGTGCTCCAGCTTCCTCTGTACCTCTTCAGAAGACCAGATTCCCAGTAGGTAGCTGGTCTCTTCAATGGACCACTGCTGCTTGTTAAGTTTCTCCATCGTTGTGAACAAACTGGATAAAACGCCGGCTTTTTGCATCCGAGCCTTAGGCCAAGCAAGTTCGTGGTTTTTTACCAAGGCCGGTCTCGTTTTCCGTGGTGTATGCAGTGCGAATGCCAGTTCGCCCGCCCCGTGCCCCGTCCCCGTTCCCCGCCTATTTGAGG